TAAGGTGAGATAGCAAAAGTAAAAGTGTTAAGAGAGAAGCATAACACAGCTATATGGACCTGATTTTCATTCGTTTACTTTCCAGCTTTTTACATGTAATGGTGCTCGATATTTCCATAATTTAATACCACATGCGGAAGTTCATATTATTCCTAATTGTGGCCATTTAATGGCAGATGAACAACCAGAACAAATTGCAACTATCTTAACTCAATTTATGGGAAATAAACAGGAATGACACAGACTGAATTTCTAGTGATAAGAATTGATTGTGATATCGACAGTTCTTTTTACATTTTCACTTTTGGAAAGTTTCTGTTTAAGAAACGTCATCTTATGCACATGGATAATTTTAAATAAACTTTTCTGCCATCAAAATTGAATAAATATTTTACATCGTTTTGTCTCATCTTCAATGATCTTATCTTTAACTGCCAACTATTCGCTGAACCGTTTGTCGGCTGAAAAAGATCGGACATGTGTTTGCGATAAATAATAGTGCTGGTTAATTGTACTTGGTCAAGTTTCTGTCTGCATCTTTCTAAGCTAATACAGATATGCATGCAATAAAATCTCTTTATTTATAGATAAAGAATGGGTCCTAGTCAAAATAAATTATGTCCGGCTGATGAATTAACATATCGTAAAAAGTCTGATTCTATGTCGGGAGACTACCAGCGAGGAAATGCGAGTGACTTTTATTTTGCATGTCGCAATGGTAATATTGACTATGTTCTAGAGAAATTACCAGGTATGTCTATTGAAGATATAAATAAAGTCGAACCGAACGGTAGTACAGCAATTCATGCCGCTACATTTTATAATCATATTGATATTGTTCAAGAGTTATTTAAAGCTGGATGTAGTAGAACAATATACAATAATCACGGTAATAGGCCATATGAGGAAGCACAAACTGAAGACATGAAAAAATTATATGATCGTTCATCGAGTACGCGTTTTCATGAACAGAATGTCGATAGATCATATGAAATTTTTACACCAGAAGGATCAGACGAAAATTCTATTCAACAAAAACATCATGATTATATTCAAATGTTTAAATCGGATGCTGAGATGATGGAATATATGACAAATCGACAAACGATGGTTATGTGGTTGAAATTTTTTGATTGGTTTTCGCATAAGTTTAGTTATTTTATTGACAGAAATGATTATCAAGCTAGTTTATTCGACTTAGATAAAGATCGAGATTTGGATGAATTTTTACGAAAAGATGGTAGTGAATACGAAAACAATAAACGAGTACTACAAGAAGCTAAAAACAAAGAGAGTGTGGGACCATTAATCACCTTATATACGCAAGAAGCAGTTGGATTTTATAGAATATTAAACGAACAGTTGGCATTAATGATAACAAGTAATGATAATCTAGATGATATGAATGGGGCTTCTTCTCTATGTGATCGATTTGTTCGGGAATTCGATATGCGAGAAGGTGAACTTTCACAAATAGCCTATACTGGTAGAAGCTTTCGTGGTGTTACAATGGAGGAAGATGAATTACAAAAATATAAAAATGCATGTAAAGGGGAAAAAGGCTGTATAATTGCTACAAAAACATTCCAGTCAACATCTAGATCGCGTGATCAAGCATTAGTATTTGCAACAACACATATTAATGGCAAAGGTATTATATTTGTATTTGATATACCTCAAGAATGTTCAACAGTATTTGACGTACAACATTTATCTGAGTTTCCCCAAGAAGAAGAAATACTAATTTTGCCAGGTAATCTCTTTGAGATCATGGAAGTTATAGAAGCCAAGGAACAAGCTGTGACTGAAATTCATCTTCTACATTTGAAAATAAAAATATCTTTTTTTGAAAAGCTCAAACGGACAATAAAAGCTGCTCGAACAGTGAGTGGTGTTGACTAATTAATGATAATAATTATGATCATTATACTTTTTGAACCTAAACACATGCGAGAAAAAATGAAAATTTCATAACTCGGATTTTTCATGAAGTTTGTACATATTTTTTTTATTTTTTTTGTTTTTTGTGTGTACACCATCTGCAGATGGTGTCCGCGTCTGGAATTTTTCTTATCCTTGTATCCTTAAGTCTCGGCTACATAACGGTGACAACCGCAAGTTTCTATCTGTGTCTTGTCGAACGTTATTCTAAAAATATCCAAGAACGTTATATTTTGGAACCGATAGTAGTGTAATATTATTCAAATCAAACCATTGTATGACGGATGGAGCACCATGACTTGCTTTTTACGAACTGTTTGCTATCGAAATTAAACCATATTCGTGCTCTTATTTCCACTAACTCTCACTTTTTATCATAAGAACTGTTGTTTTTTTGTGACTATGTCACGATAAGCAAGATCTTTATATGTAAAACGAGAAAAGAATAGGTGGCAAGCTAGAACTCCTAACTATACATACAGTTATTCAATATTATAAATTATGTACAAATAAAAAATATTTTCTTCTCAGAATATAGTTATCATATTTGAATCATCCATCTCACGAGGGAACCTCCCCAGGTGTCCGACTCCGATTTCGTTCGTTCATACATCATTCGATAGAGGACCTCGAGTAGGCAAAAAGGCTAAAAGGATTTGGGCGGAGTGTCCTTTAAGACCCGATTTTCTGGAAAACCAGTTTTTCAGAAACTCTAAAAAGATAACCAGCACCTTTCTTGATGAGGCAAAATTGTAGCCCGCGAAATTCTGATCAAAATGAGACATCTCCCAGCTCTACATGACCTTTCTT